GAGGTCACGTCAACCGGCCAAATATTTTTGTAGGCCACATTTATTCTCGATTTAATGATCAAATTATCATACGATTCAATTGAATAGACCAGATTGACCTACACCACCAAAATTACGAAGTTATATAAGGCCAAATTGCCAAATATTTTTGTAGGCCACCTTTTTTTTTTCAATTTTGTGATCAAAGTAGAAAGCAAATGAGTATTTACTTGTTTTTAGTAACTAATTAAATAGACAAAGGATGCCAATCTCCAGATTGAAAACGCAGCACTGAAAATTCCAAGAGTTTCCGTAAATAAAATAGTTGTAGGCTACGATGAGATGAAGTTAAGTTATTCACGAATTTCAGTTTTTACTTCACGAGTTTCAGGCGGATGTTAAAAATATTTCTAGGTATTACTTTTTTTTTTTTTTTTTTAGAGTTCTCGATCTGATTCTAATTGTGTCGATTTTATTTTCTATAATTTTTACGTATTCTTTCAATGATTCTCGAAGCACAGATCGACACAGATTATAGTAATGACCCACAACCACCTTCTAAAATATAACTTGTTTTAATATAGTATTTCTAAATTATATTTTTTTTCAAGTACACAATATCTAACAAAATAACTAATCATATTTAGTTGGTTATGATGTCCAGTATATTTACATTACTTAAATAGAATGCATCAATTAACAAATTATATTGTAAAGCTGGTATTTATGGTAATGACAATCTTTTCTATTGCGTGTTCTTCGAAAGAGGAAGCTCAATAAAAATAATCATCATAGTTAAGAAATACTTGCTACCTTTATTGAAAAATAATTTATATATGTATATATATATATATATATATATATATATATATATATATATATTATTAAAAAAATATTATCATTAAAAGGTTGTTCCAAAATTCGCAATTTAAGTGTTCATTTTTTCATTTGCATTCTCTAATATAGAGTAAGTAGAGTATGTATAGCAATTCATAACAAAAAGGGGCCTGTACCACGGCCTATTTGTTTTGTTATACTGTCCAATAAATAGATTTCTAATTTTAATCGCAAAGATGTTTTTATTTTTTAGCCCTATTTCAGCTCGTACATAAAAAACTTCAGACCTGCATGTAGGTAAGTATGCTATGTTGTTATGTTATGTTATGTATGTTATATAGGTACATATATATTCTGAAACTTGATAATTGCAAATTTAATCGAGGTTGGTAAGGAAACATAGGGTATACATTATGGAGCACTGATGAGCCTTCGCAGACTATAATAGAACAATAGTACCGGAGGGTACGCTGCTCCTTGATACATATCGCGGCTAGATCTTCAGCTATCGGTCCCATTGTCTGCACCAACTTCCTCCGGGACCAGCGTTCCATCTCGCGCTCCTTCCATTCTATCACGATTCCGAACCTTCAATCCGACCAATCCCACGACCTGATACACCACGTCAAGAGGAGTGAAGTACCGAATCACAAACAGAGAGCGGAATGAAACATCACCCATCAAATAAATAAATAAATAATAATATAATATAATATAAATAATAATAAACAACGAGACCGTGCGGTGCATATCTTTATCGTAATATTTACCACTAGCGAATCCAGGATTTAATTTTGGAGGGTGCTTCAGCCTGAAAGACTTTTTTATATATAAGATAATTACTTAGGAAGAAGAATAAAGAAACTACCAATATGAAGTGGCGTTTAAGTGATTCTTGTTGAAATGCAAATGTAATTACACGAACAATAATATTTTAAGAGATATTTTTTAAATATTTGTTTCATAAGATAGGATTATATTTTACCATTTGGGAACGGAGGGGGAGACTTCAGCTCCAAAACTCTCCTCTCCCCATAGATCCGCCTGTGATGTTTACCTCACAGAAACTAAATCTTTCAGCTTAAACACATTTATTTTAGTAAAAAAAACAAAACAAATATTTCGGTACGCTGTTCAATTTTATATCTATAGAAAATCTTGTAAGAACAAGTGTATTGTGAAATATATTTTTGAGGTTTATTTAAGGTCGATCTTGGCAACGGGTTTATTTAGAAATACATATCTAAAACATCGCATAAAAAGTTAGAGTGTTTTCTTAAGAATCTACAGTATAATTAATCTACGATTTATACATACCTTTTTCGACTTTTAGGTGTTGAATGAGTTATCAGATGAAAGGGAATTTAATTGAGAAATGACTTATTCCAATTTCGATTCCTAAATTCCGACAAATACTTTAAGTTAAGTCATTATCGATAAAAAAAAATCGGAATAAAAACCCAGATGGTTTCAAAGGTGAATCGAGGAAGGATAAATTGTTTAAAAAAAAATTAAAATAAATAAATAAAAAAATGTTTACTATGCTCATGTGTATTGATGATACTGCATATTTGTATATTAGTTTTAAGAATTTTTCATTATATTCATTGATAAGTATGCTGTATCTGTAGCAATCCAATTATAATTGGACAGCATCCTTTTATAAAATTAAAGTGATTCTCTCTTCTTGTTCATCAAGAACCGGTATAATTCCAAACGAACCTTTTAAAGCCCAAAAATGTCTCTTTTTTTAGACAATTTTTGCCGAAGGTAGGGATGGCTATAGATAGTTGATATTATAGAAGTATCTTCCTTCCTATATTCGATATTTTACCATCGATATTATCTACTACAATATTATCGACTATCGATATAATAATAAAAATTAAAACTATGCTAGGAATTAGATCGTTAGAGAAACATATATACTCATGCTTGCCTGTTTCATATAGAATGTAGTGCGTAGTAGAGGAAAATATCAATACTTCGACAATATCGATTATCGATGGCCATCCCTAATCCCTAAGTAGAGTTGAATAGCGTTTGTAGGGAACCGTTCTCACTCAGTAAACTCAATCTGCCCAAACTTGTTAGTTAGAACCTTCTCAAACCAAGACCACGAATTGTTTTTTTAATTTTTTTATTTGAATTCTCTAATATAGAATATGTATAGTAATTTATTATTATTATACATAAGTCGATAATAAATTAATGAACTATAGTCGTAGTATAATTATATTTTAAACGTAAGTATTTACCTTGTGGCATTCAACTGCAGAATCCTCCCAATACCTATTATCTACAGTGCAGATAATAGGTATCGGGAGGTAGGCCCAGCAAGGCAGCTGCTTGTACCTACGAAAATACCTACCTGGACAGCTGAGTTTGGCAGCTTGTGCCGAATGCTAACTAATGGTATCTGTCAGCCATACATCTGCGAACCCGTTACAGGGTACAATACAGCAAGTCCCGGAGGTAGGAGGTACAGCATTTAGTATTGCTAATATCTTGGGTGTTTGAAAAGTTATTATAAGAAACAACAACGAAGTATGATATCGAGAGAACATGTGAATCATAAAGATTGTAATGGTGTAGAGATGGTTCACCGTGATTAAAATATGAGTTGTTCGAGGGATGTAGGGGGGAGGGGAGAAGTCGAACTAATCTAGCTTTTATGATATTTTTAGTGATAATTATAGTGAATAATTAAAAGATTTTTATTAAGGAAGTAAAATGATTCTTGGGATCGATGTTATAAATGAAAGATTTCGAAACTAAGTCTTAAGTGTCCTTCTCAAATACCAATAACTAATAGTCCGTGGTACAGACTACTTTTTATCAGATTATTAACATCCGCATGAAACTTTGAAAATAGCTTCATCTCAATGTAATCTACAACTATGTTATTTACGAAAATTCTAGGGATTGGGGCGTTTTCGGTCAGGAAATAGGCAAACTTTGTCTATTTAATTAGGTACTAAAGTCTCGCAAATATTCATTTGCTTTTCTCTTGAATCGTATGATAATTTGACCAGAAAATCGAGGAAAAATGTAGTCTTCAAAAATATTGGTCCGTTTGGCGTGACCTACACCCCCAACATTTCAAAATAACAAGGTTATATACGCCAAACGGCGCAATATTTTTATAGGCCAACTTTTTTTTCGATTTTGAGATCAAATTATTTTCCGATCCAAATGGAAAGCAAATGCGTATATACGAGTTTTTAGTACCTAATAAAATAGACAAAGTTTGCTGATTTACACATTAAAACCCCAAGAGTTTTCGTAAATAAAACAGTTGTAGGTTAGGATGAGATGAAGCTATTCACGAAGTTTCAGGCGGGTGCTATTAATTTCATAAAAAGGTGTCTGTGCCAAGGACTATAACTGATTAATAAACGTTTCACAAATTCAGATAAAGATAATTCGTTACTATAAAGGAGTAATAGAAATTTAAGCATCCTTTAAATAAAAAAAAAAATATTATGTGACAAATTCTCCTTAAAATAATTACAAAGTAATGATTTAAGGCATACTGCCTGACCTAGGAAAAAAAACCTGTGGAAAATTTTTACAGAAACTAATGTTGTGTACATAAGTGAGGTAGTTCGATCATGGAGTAGATGAATAAATAAATTTTGTTTAAAAGAACAGAAGAGGGTATTCTCGAAGGAGGTATAACGTATGACAACAGATTTGTTGAGAGAATCGGTTTTAAGAAAAAGGAACATTTAAATCAATAAGGTAAGATCTTTTGTTAAGAGAATGAATAGTGAAACGTAGAGTGAGTTCTAGGATGTAGGAGGACTTTTTGGTTCTAAGGACAGGTAAACATACCTAGGAGGTATTGCAGCTGTATAAAAGCATCCCAACTCGCTATGACAAAATGAGACAAGATTAAAGAATCTTATAATGCATCATAGGAAATCTTATGAAGCAATTCATAAGTCTATTCAGTCAAATCTCTAGCCCAGCAGATTTAGTTATGTTTTAAATATACCAATGGTTTCATATTAAAACTTATTTTATATGGGTTACGGGCTAAAGTAAGATTCAAAATAGGTAATGTTACGTCGCAAAATCAACAAGTTAAAAGCAAGTTTATAAAGAAATATCAACCTACCAAACAGAGTTTACACTAATGTTTGTAACATGATTCTCTAACCCCTGATTAGAAATAATAATACATTTAAAATAAATATAATTTCTTCTTTAGCGTAATGTAGAAAATTTCATAAATTCTTTTGTTGTAAAGTTCAAAGGGAAATGCGGGAGAGGCAAGAGGCCATTGCTAGTTGGATCCGTGATCGAATGTATCTTAATCTGCCTAATGTGCGAATCCCGTCCGTTCTGATGGTTGCTCATTATCACTATCTGAATCAAGAACGTCTTGAGCAGGTTCTTCTTATCCCGACTCTTCATCGGAATAATGACCCAACCGTTTGGACGCTGCAGCTGCAAGAGGTCGACCTGCTGAAGGTTCGAGAAGTTGGATCCTGAGCGGAGGGACAGGATGGACGGAGTGTAGGTCTCGTCTTTCTCGTGGCTGAGGTAGATGCAGATGTCGGTGATGACCATCTTCTTCCTGAAGAGGATGTTGATCAGGTGGGGCAGCTGGCTGTCCGATTGCCAATAGGTGTCCAGGTTGTCGTCCCGCAGCTTCTCAGGGCCGCAGTTACTCTTGAAGGAGGAAACAGTCCATATAGCGGCATCCCCTACCTCCCTGAAGAGTCCCTTGTTCAAAGCCATGAAGGGATCGGATTCGAGAGCTTTATCCTTTTCTGTTTTCTTTGTCTCTTTACTGCTTTGGACTTGTGGGGGAATAGGTACTACATCCATTTCTACACTGTAAAGAAAAAAACAAGTAAATCCGAATTCTAAGCAATTTTAATGATTCCCTTATGCAATTTATAGCTAGATCATATTTTAGACGAAGAATACCATATTTGAAAAGGTTTAACGGTGAGCCATGAAATACCCTAATGTTGTAATAAACCTTTGATTATATTGTTAGGAAAATATACATAAATGTAAATAAACCAAATATCAGAAATGGACGGCTAATAAGGAATAAGATGTTGAAATAAACATTAGTTAAACAAATTATATAAAAAATAGTGACAAAACCTGTAAAACTAATTTAGAGAAAATGATTTTAGAGAATGATCTCTTAATTTAATTATTTTCCTCCTTGTCTTCCGATAATACGAGATTATAATTTATTGAATAAGGACAATGCAATTGGAGTATTTTTCATTGCGGGAGTTCCAGTTTTCTTTGACTAACTCCTATATCAAAGTGGGAGTCTAAATAGATATAGTAGGTGCAGCTCATTCCCACCCATGTACGAAGGCTTCTTGCTATGAGTAGTTATCTGAGAGGAGTAGAGGTAGTCTTCGTTGAGGTTGTAGACGCCGATAATCCACTTTAGCTTTGTCCTCAGTGTCTCAAACGCAGTGCAGTTGGTGATCACTTGTTCAGCTGTATCCGAGACACCACAACTGAAGCATAGGGGACCAATATCCTATCCTAGACAAACTTGACACAAAACCCCTGTGTCCGGCGTGGAATTGAGAGACCCAATTCTCAGATTTGTCCCGTAGAGAATGATCTGAGGTATAAAATAACTTAAAAGAAAGAAAAAACACTGTTTTCAAAAATATTATTCAACAAATAATATCCATCTAAAGAAGATGAATATAGATAATGGTGGACAGCGGTATAGTGTAGACGGTTAGATTTTAGGATGGTGAATTAGTCAATGCTTGGGTACTGAACGAATTTATACAAAGGGCCATGAGAGACGCTCTATAAGTATAACGAGACATGGACGGGATGATACGTGAGGTTAATTGTACCAACATAAAGTTCACACAGTCAATTACAAGCCAGTATTTTAAGTGCTTTGAACAAACCAAATCACGTAAATACAATGCAATAAACATGCATTTCATACATGGGAGTGATAAATTATAAACATTTTTGTGTTAAAATGGGACTTGAGAGGTACATGAGTAAGCAACTTAACCCAAAACATGTTCGCAATATTATCTTTGTGGGGATTATATACAATTAATTATTTTCATACTCTGCCCTTCATTCGGATGACACGCCAACTATCGTGTTTAATTTGACACGGTTTCGAAGTATGTTGAATGAGGTAATTGCTACTGCACATAACCAGGTGGCATTTAAGAACTGCTCAAGATCTGTCAATAAAATAGGCACGGAATATATCGTGCATCATTAGTCCGACAAAAATATTCTGTTGACCTATAAACAAACTAGAGGTCGTTACAGGAGCCGACAAAACTATTTTCATTACAAGGAGGAGGAATCGTAGCTTCTTTTTTCTGTGTTAATGTTTCCCGCTAAACCAAATATTCTCCTACCCCTATGTATAAAAGTAAAATCTCATCATTTCAAAGTCCCCTTGAATAGGTCTTTTAAGACAAATGAGCAAGAAATGTGACCTTCTATGTGGAACCTGCATGAATCAGTTCAGTTTAGGAATGAAATTTACTTTAAGGTCATAAATTTATCTTAGAATTTTCGGAATGGCAATACGCTGACGTTTCGGAAGTCTCTGTCATATTGGAGGAATATTTTCCTGAATATAATTGTAATAGAGGCTCAACAATGATCGTCCAAACAGTTTAGAGTATACTGTAATTGGATCCAATAACTCTTTCATGATATAAGATATCTTGAAAACCTACCTCTGCACTATTGATTTTGTGACATATCTTTATCTTCAAATGGCGCTTCAGTCAATTTGGAACCGTCATATCCTCAATATTTTTTCGACCTGTTTTTTCCACACTCTTTTTGGATTTGTTTTGCTTACGTTGGCTTTCACATCGGATGATGTGATTATCATTTAACTTTAATTAGATTGTGGAATATTTAATTAGATATGCTTGTTCCCGAATTGGGTCTTGGGTTTTGCTTCACAATTAATTACTGAAATTGAGCCCCGCCATCCACTAGGATAAAATACTTGATTCTATAGAGACAGCCTTCTCAATAAAATATTTCGCATATTAACTCACTGGGAGAATATTATTCTAGACTAGTAGTATATTCTATGGGAGGATAGTATTCTATGTAAGTAAGCGTACTTGATCTAATGGTGAAATTTTCTTTCTAAAGCAAAGCTATTCCAAATACGATTTTTGTTAATATCTTTTTCATAATTTTCATTCCTACTAGTGTTGTCCAAATGCGAGACCGAGACGAGTCTTGGTCTTACAAACTCAGTCTTGGTCGTGGTCTTCGTCTTGCACCAGAGTCTCGCAGTTACTTACTAGCTTATTACTATAGAGATATTACTGTATAGGAGAAACCTAACTAAGCCCGAATGAAAAATTAGAGGAGTATGTATATGTAAAAGTGTGTTGGTTATACCAATTATTAACATCTAGTAACTAAGATGGTCAAGTATTAGTAACTATTTTGCCTTAATTTTTATTTAAAAAACCGATTTTCTTTTACTATTCCTGGTATTGGTCTTGCAACAGTTAGGCGGCCTTGGTCTTAAAAGACCAAGACCTATTTTGGGCAACACTATATTTTAGAATACTTTTTGTAAAGTCCTTTATCTGTTAAATGTATGCATTTTTTTCAATTGTTGGTTTTATAAAAAATTAGCAACCTAAATCCTAAAATTAATTAACTAATAATAATGTCCGGTTCAAAAAAATCTTCATTATTTACTAAATATAAATTAATCATCCAATGCCTTACTTGACAGTAATTTATAGTTCAAATTCACTTAGTCCACGCATGTAAAATCATTTATAATAACTACAAACATTACCGAATAGACTTAATGAATTTCACTCAGCCTGTCTTCGTGTAACAATGATAGGCCGAATAAAAGTACTTGAAAAAGGTTCAGGATTCAATTTAAGCTTTCTAAATGATACTTGGAGACCAAATTAGAGTAATTTTTCGAAATAGGGACACAACTCGAGCTATACTTTCACAACTATCTTCATCGAACTCTTGGTATTTTTTCTTTTTCTTTTAGCAATAGGAAATCTCGCCATAATCTGTGATCAATGATATCTGACTGTGAAAAAATCGTAGATATGTTTTATTGTTATTGGCGCGCCTTTGGAATAGGTTTTGAATATTTTTTTTTCTTTTAGGAAACAATCGAAACTCCTAAATCATCCATCGGCAATCAAGGAACCACTTAGTAGTTACAATTGGGGCTTATAGAGCACTCGGATCTACCTACAGGTACATAAATAATCCATGCGACGTATCAGATAAAAAGTGATTAAGGGTCGATTCTCAACCGGTAGTTGCTCAACTGCTATTGCCTCAGAAAGGGCGTGTGGGCTTCAAGTAGCAGCATCAGGTGCTCTGCAGGGCCAGCCATATGGCAACGCCAACCAACAGCTGCTCTTCCAAATTTCTCTATTACCTTCTGTTCAAGGTTAACCGTACCATCTAACCGTTTTAACCAAACAATGGATAAGCAAAATGCTGGATGACGCTCTTTTATATTTTAATAAATAGAAAATCAAAGGTATAGTATCGTTGGAGGCATTAGTACTTTTTCTGAGAGGATAACTGCAAGCTATTTAATGAAAAATGGAGATAAAATCCTCAAACTCTCTCAATTACTGGCCTGGACGAGAATTATAATGTTCAAGAAACTTCTCATAGAGTATACTTCTTTATAGCGGCCAATTTTAATAAAATCCCATCTCCAACATTTGCAACGCAAACGGGTTTAATGCAGGTATTTTGATTGAAAAGTTTCTCCATAAATGAGTGCAGGAAACAATTTCAATTCCGTTTATAATTGCGTAGTTTAAATTGGAAATTCAGTTTAGTGGCAGGGATTATAGTTTCAATTTTTTATTGTTAATTCTCTTCCAGAATTAAATAACTGATGAAATATGGAGCAAATTTCACCTTTTGTCTACTAGCTTTGTTTCTAATGTCTTGTAGTCCGGGTCAAGTCCTTGTCGACACAGTGGACATATTGCTGATTCGACAACTCCAATACGGTATAGATGGCTTTGGAGATAGTCATGTCCAGTTTTCATCCTAAACTGTGCAACGGCCTCACTTCTAGGGAGATCCACTGACACTTCTCCATTTTCTTATAGTAATGAAGCTCATTGCTTCTCCTTAAACTCCAACTGCCGACATGCAATAATGATGAGCTTGCTTAATCTTTTCGCTTTTTAATAAAAACGTTTAAAATTTTAATTTATTTTATACTCAGTGGTACAAAATAGTCTTTCTTTAAAACAGGTTTTCAAATATTGGAAAGAACGCGTCCTCACTACCCCATAGAGATCGACGTCTATGAGTTATTATTAGATAATCTGAAAATGAAGATATCTATCTACTCAATAATGGAAACAATATAAGAAACGAATTTAATATTTGCTCCAACAGTACAAGTGTAGAATGCCTTCTAGGAAATTTCATTTCAGAAATTCAACCATTCGTATCAAAGGAGTATCAAATTTTAACAAGTGGCTAAGGAATTTTTAAAATAAAGCTACTATTAATATAACCAAAAATGTGCATCCAGATTTCAACAATGCTGTCAGTTTTACAAAAATATCCGTGATCATTATACATCATTCAGAACACAATAGGAGTTTTTTTTTCCAATTGAAATTGAAGATTCCTATTAGCTTTTTAACCTTAACATAACAGAATATCGATGCTATTAGTGTTTCCAGAAATTGAAAGCACTGTACGTCTATGGTTCAGAGTATGGTTAAAAATAAATGAATTACCCACGTAGGTATAATTAATATGGAGTGATATACATAGTGGTGCCTCTGATTCTATTTGAACATTCCATTAAAAAGTAATACTTTTATGAAACTCAGGAAAAAAGATTACTTTCAGCCAATTTTAATTGCAGGGAAGCTTTTATAAAACAATATAATCATCGTTATTGTAAGTTGTAAGTTATTGAAACAATCCCGTTACGTCTTTTACTTACTCGATTTCAATCGATGTATTAACATCTTTTTCCGCGAATGTTTATGAGAAGAAGAAACATCAGATTGGCTTTGCAATCCAATTTGCTGAAAGAAGTCCTTTTTTATTGAGTTTCACAAAAGTATTCTTTTCCGATGGAGCGTTCAAATGCAGTTAAATCCTTTAACAGAGCACATCACTCTTCGAGGCATATTTGGCTGCATATATCGACATCGATAAGATTAACTAAAATAAAAACAATCGGAATCCAAGATAATTGTGAGCAGACTGTACACTATTAGCAATCAGAAATCATATAGTTTACACATATGTTTGACTAATAAAACATAACCTCAAACTTGTGATGAAATAAGCATAAACAGGTAAAAATGTTTTTCAAAAATATATAAAAAATTATCATAATAATTACCTTTAAAATTGAAGTATGATTAGCAATAAAATCCGCTGATAATCTGGATTTTAAAACAAAAATTAATGCTTGAAAAAAACCAAAGATTCTGGTAGGTTCAATCACAAAATAATCAGTCAAGTCGATATTTTGAAATCGATGTAAATATTTGTGAAGGATAATCGATTTTTATCGAATTGTAGGGATGATGTCGCAACAGAAAATTGCTTTTACCACAAAATAATCATATTGTCTCCGAATATCACTAACTGACCTTCGGGAAAAGTCTTGCTTTATTTGTGTATAATGGTGTAGGTGTCTAAAATTCCAAAATAAGATAATGGAGGATTCATTACCTGTGACCTCCAAACGGTTTCCAATCCTTTGATGGTTCCCAAAGAAAATAATTAGATTTAGGTTTCGGATAGATTTTTGATTTAGATTTGGTTGTTATAACTAAAACAACTATTAACCTGTCTGCAATTGGACTAATAAAATTATGAAGGCACTTTTTTTTTTTTTAATTTCAGAATACACAGTCTTGAAATCTGAAATTATATTAATTACTTATCTTAACCGTCCAGAAATAAAGAAGTCTCTCAACCTCAATCGATCATTTTTTAATTCCTTATTGATTATAGGAGCCAATCTCCCATCCTGGTACTGAGTCCCCACCCGCTGAGTCCTCGCGGATATATGGGGGGAGGGGACTTTCGGACTGAAGCTCTCCCCTCCCCTCCTCCCCCAAATAGTAAAATAAAACCATGTAAAATGAAAAAAAAATTTATTCAGCAATAATTATTCAGACATCGTCAATAGATTCAAAAATTGAAATAAAAAAGAGCATAATAATAATTTATCTAATATTTAACTTTTTTAATCATTTCTATTCAAGAAATTTACAACTGTATTAAAATAGAAATACATTTAGTAAATTTAAACAGAGAAATATGACATGTAAAGAAGTGTAGAGAAATTACCCACAGGTAGCACACTAATATTGAACTTGAATAGAAAATTGAAAGATATATATAAAAAGAAAAACATAGTCAAAAATACTCTAAGAGTTTTATTTTGGGAGGGGAGTAAACAAAAAAATATAAGGGAAACTTTCTAAACGCAGCTCTAACGCCATCGAAGAATTTTATCTATCGATAGGATCCAGCAGCATTAGACAGCAATTTATGTGTTTAGGCACAACCTGATGGATTGTCGCGGAAGATTATCACTCTTGAAAGTTAAGTTCAAAACAGAAGGAAAATATGTAAGGACTATTTTTATTATTATGATGATGTATCTGCCTTATACATTAATTTTTTTTTTTGGTGCGCTGCAACGCGGGTGCAAGTGGCATGAAAACGTTAAAATAAAAATAAAAATAAATGTAAGGAAATGATTACCAATTGAATTATTAAATTTTCAAACAGTAATAAATATACATAAAAAGCCAACTGAATATAACAGGTAAAGTAAATTGATAAATAACAACTGAGATTACATCCAGTGATCCATCGACCCCAAAAGCCGATGTACCGCTGAGTAACCGATAATTTAAACGATACATAACGGATCAGGCTGTATTCCATCAGTGATTTTCATTGAGAATCTCAGAACTTGCCCTGACTGACTAACTGATTTTTTTATATATTCTTAACTACATTATGTACTAAGCTTATTGTGTTCTATCAGAAAATGGAATATGTCACAGAATATTGTATACCGAGGTAAATAAAATAAAATTGTATTATACATTTAAAAATATTATGTACAATAACTTATATAAATTTAATATAATGTAAAATACACGTATAATCTAAAATTAGATAAAAATTTTTATCAAATTTTTAAATTCTAATCTAAGATTAGAAAAATAATTTTTGCAGAACGTTGTGAACATAGGGATGACTCCACCAAAAAATTATTCCTTTTTTAAAATTATAAAATGAACTCGTCAATAAAGCCTATTTTTCGAAATTCAAAAGTTTCATATCCTTGAATTGACATGATTATGGCGGTATTGTAAGAACCTAACCCACACAACCACATATCCTAGAAATGATAAATGGCCTTATGTTGATGTAATGGGGTCTCGATGATTAAGATAATGATGATGAATGTCATCCAGGGAAAATTATTAGAAAGGAATCCAGTAAAAGAAATTCTTCTTATTTAAAGAACATCACCACGGAGGTCGTGAATGAGGGAGGTTAAGTGGGTTGTCACACCCCCCTCCCACCCTTTTCCCAATACCTTTACTTATTTCAAATAAGCTGACATATTTGATGCCTGAGCACCTGATTTGAACCATGAAAATTGTTTTAAAACATTAACTTTTTAGTTAAGAAATTGGAATTTTATTTATACAATGTCGTGTTGGAATATAAAAAAAAAAAATTAAGTGCAAACACTAAATAGAAGAGAGTACAAAGTTCCTATCCAAAATTTGAGGAAATTAAAATAATTTATTATATTTCTTTTCCAACTTTGCCTACCAGTTATAATGTATTAAAAGTATTACCTTTTAATAGTGACCTTTAGACAAAGAAGGGGGATAAATAGAATATTATCAAAAGAGAAGCATATAAATTAATTTTTTTTTTAAATTAAAGAGTACTTGACAAATATTTATAACAACAACAACAAATATCGAAATATTTAATAAAGCTGAAAAATCCGATCAAAATTGTTTAAACTTTTTATATTTTGCTCCTTTCTTCTTGCAATAAATTGTTGTAGCAACATCCCTGAATATCACTTGATTTCGACAGCAAGTCAGTTGAGCTTGAATGGCAGCTATTCCCTTTTAAATTGAGATCATAATTGAAAACTGGTTGAACGGGTTCTGGCCTCATCCCGGTAAAGTTCGGCACAACCAACTGTTGCAACTATAAAAATTCCAACTGTGTTTATGTCACCTTAAACATACAGTAGCTTCCTATTGGTTCTCTTTCTCCAGGTATTATCAATATTGATAGGTAATATTAGACTATTTTATATTTTTTGAAGGTGAGGTTCTTTAACAATGACAGTCTCTGTAAAATGTTTTTATTTGACATCCTAAATACAAGATACTTTCATGCAACCCCCTTCTTAGTACCTGTGCTAGGAGTTTTACAGAACACACGTTGAAGTACCTCGATTAGCAATATTTAAACCATTGATGTGAATTGCCTATTGAATTTATGTGACCTTATCTCAATCTCTCCTAATAATGACTGAGTTTCGCGAAACGTTGTCAGATCAGTTATTTACTTATACTTGGTAGAATAGGCCCAGATTTTCCATTTTGATTGGGGTGCGGTTGATCAGAAAAAAGTACTACAATTCATAATAGTATTGCTGAAGATCAACAGAAAATAACATAAAATTATTTTTATTATTATTATTTTCTATATGCTGGGCTATTATAAAATGTTTGAAGTGCATTTTAAATGGGGCTAAAGCTTAAAACATACAGATAACAAATCATTACGACCATTATAATTGCAAGAAGTCTATTTATTATATCGACGGTAGGCAATAAAAATCTATTCACTCCATCTACGTTTATAAACAACACAACTTCAGTCTCTGAGCCTTACAGTTGACATAATGACTAACTCCAATTTCAACATTTTTGAGTAATGTTATTTTAGTGATATTTCTATTTGGAAAAGTTATATCTATACAGACAGTTAGTTGATTCCAGAGTAGGTGATTGCAGTGATGAAATATAGAACTGTGAATAAACGTATAAATTTTACCACTAGAAACATCACTAAAATTAATAATAAAGAATGTTGTATTTGGAGTTAGTCATATATGCCTAAAGAGATTTGAAAGTATATCTGAATATTGAACCTATAAATGATTATGGATCGTAGGACTATTAGTTATTAACCTGTTATTTTCCATTATAAAGCTTGCTAAAACAAAATTACGAGATTTTCATTGACTGCCATGGGTTAGGTCAAAAGCTGCCACACTAATTGTAAGTTAGTTGATAATGTTACCATTTCAGAAAAGGAAAATTCATAAAATTATTCACTAATTTAATTTTCTAAAAGGTTACTTGATGATTTTTTGGAATAAAGGGCCGATAGATACCTAATTATTCAAATGTAGTATCTTATCTAGAGTTAATACTCTAGAGTAAATATATTCATGAAATATTTTTACATTTCACTTCTTCTTTTACACAGGTACAATAGAATAGTATTCTAAACAATGGCATAAGCTTGATTCGGTAGATTGTATTTAAAATCCATCGAATCAAGCTAATTTTTTTCACTCTTAAATGATATTCTCGTCCACTCTCTTTTTTATTATTGATGCGGCAATCTCCTATAGTCCCTCCTTCTATAAATATGGGTTTATGTTTAGTAGACTTGAAGAATTGTTTATAATCCATCCAATATGTGGACAGTAATTTGCACCCTGAACATCCCAAGAACGACTACCTTAGTCCTCGGACCTACATAACACCCCTATTCCCTATACCGGAGCGATCTCATGCAACGGCAGAGGCAACGGTCCAATCCAGATAGGATCGGTCCTGCGACCTGCTTCCCCCGTGCAAGACAATGGCTCCCATTAATCGCGGACTGTGAGAATACCCGGCCCTGGAGGAAGTGGAGATTCCTCAGTGAAGATTCGGAAAAGTCATGCGTGCGAAGTGAGAGGAAGGTTGCAAGGCGAGGGCAATGCCCTTCCAGCTCCAGGCCCGTCATCCACTCTCTGCAGCGGCCTGCGCTCCATCCTCAGGCCTATAGTAGTATTTTTTGAGCTATCGGTATCGTCTATAATATATTACTGTACTATCGTTTATACATAAATAAAAGTTATACATTCAATATTTTATTTATTAAAAGACAATTAATAGCATTTCGTCTAAAATCTTAATGCCAAACAAATAATAGTAATAATATGATTCCAATATTCGGTTGAAGTTACCGAGAAGTTTGGTCTCTCAACAGCTATGATAAATGAAGCCCAGAAAGCTGTGCTGCTGAACACTGTGAGAATCATAAGGAGCTTCCTTAATATCCAATAAAACTAAAAAATTGACGTGAAGTGGTTGAAGTTAATTCTTCCCCACTCCATGAAAATACCTTTTTTAAAGTGATAAAGAATAAAGAATAATAAAAA